GTAAGACATTTTCCGGGTTGGAATAGTACTAAAACTTGAAGAAGGTTTCGTAAGGGATATCTTCACTTTTTCTTTGTATTGAAAAATGTCTAGTACATCGAATTTTCTTATTATGGTATTATATTGCACGTGTCGGAATTGACATACCTATCCTTGGTGAAACGTTGCTTGGAACATGTTCCGATGGGAAACTCATTAGAAACACAAGCTAACTTTACACTTTCCCAATGGATTCATAATTGAGGATCAACTTTTAATACAATGTCGGTTTCATTTCATTAGTGGAGAAGTCCGAACCGAGTGTGTTTTCGTACAATAAAACGTTCGAATCAAAGGTAGTGGCGGAGTATGTGTGATTAAAGAATGAATAAATTTAAAAAAACAAGTTCCACGAGTTTTTTTCTTACATTGCGATTGGTGTGTAATTCTAAATTAATAAAACTTCTATAAAACATTAAAAGACTTGAGGTCCGGTGAAACGTAATATACGAAAAGGATAAAAATAATAACGGTGAACTACCGACTAACGACAAAGAAATCATGGAAAGATGGAAAATTACTTTGAAGAACACAATATAGAAGAACCGAAACGAAATAATCAGCAGAATAAGAATGAGGACTTTTGTGGTGTTATCTTTTCCCCACTTTTGGAATTTGTAGTACGAAAAACGCGTCTTATATGAAAGAAAAACCTCAACGACGCCGTCAACCAACAAATTCCAAAGAGGTTTCTGGACTCAGGTAAAAACTAAACCCTTATGTTCGAGTGTTTTTGTGAGAAATTTCATTCCTGAAAGTTTTCGAATCTTCAGAGAGACGCTGGTTAACTACGATAAAATCTCAGTTGACTTAAATATTTATTTAAATTTCAACCAGAAAGCCAGTGGAAAAATCTTACATTTAAGCGAGTGACATAAAGTGGAAAACATGAAACTGGAACATTTCGTGTTTGAAATATAATCTTGAGATTCTTGGAAGTCTTAAAAAGTACTAAATTGTGATTGTTCATAATGCTGTGGTATTGCGGCTTGAATTCGAACATTTATTCTCGACGACGCCGCTCAAGAGCGCAGCGTTTCCGAGATCGTTAAAATTGAGCTTAATTGAAATAAATAGACACAATTTCGCTTGGCGAAAGGGGAACACGCGGTTTCTAGTTAAAGTAGTCCGTGGTTCGTTTGCCGAAATCGGGTAAAGAGTATAATATGTGGCAGGTTTTTTGGGGATGTGGGTGTGTGATATTTGTCTAAAGATTAGAATCAGCGAGAAAGTTGAGTTTTTGCGTCCAGTTATGTATTTTAATTCCGTCTCTTTTCCTTGCGTTTTTAAACTTGTGATATTAAAATATTTACATTGACTCGGAACATTTGGTTTGGTTTCATTTTGTAAGCTAGGAGGCTATGAAACTGAGAATTAAGTGTTCTGAGCGCACATTCAAAGCCAAATTTTGAATTTTTCTGGGGTTTTAAATTTTGTTCACAAGTCAAATTAAGGTTGGATGCTTGGGTTATTCCAATATATAATATCTTTTTACATAGCCTAAGATTTTCGAGGCCAGAATCAACAACAGTAAGACATTTTCCGGGTTTGAACAGTATTAAAACTTGAAGAAGGAAAAGACGAACAGGAAGAATGAGAAGTTCAGGAGAGAAGATAGCGATGTCTAAGGGAAATTACTTCTGACGAACGAAATTTTCAAATTTGACACGATTTCCAGTGTAGTACATTGAATAAGCTTATTATGGTATTATATTGCACGTGTCGGAATTGACATACCTATCCTTGGTGAAACGTTGCTTGGAACATGTTCCAATGGAAAACTCATTAGAAACACAAGCTAACTTTACACTTTCCCAATGGATTCATAGTTGAGGACCAACTTTTAATCCAATGTCGATTTCATTTCATCAGTGGAGAAGTCCGAACTAAGTGTGCTTTCGTAGAATAATACGTTCGAATCAAAGGTAGTGGCGGTGTATGTATGATTAAAGAATGAATTAATTCAAAAAAATAAAACTTCTATAGAACATTAAAATACTTGAAGTCCGGAGAAACCTCATATACGAAAAGTATAAAAACAATAACGGTGAACTACCGACTAACGACAAAGAAATCATGGAAAGATGGAAAATTACTTTGAAGAACTACTATAGAAAGAACGCAATAAAGAAGAACCAAAACGAAATAATCATATAGCTTTCAGAAGAGTAAGAATGAGGACTTTTGTGATTCAACTTTTCCCCACTTTTGGAATTTGTAGTACGGAAAACGCCGCTTACATTAAAGGCAAACCTCAACGACGCCGTCAACCATCAAATTTCAAAGAGGTTTCTGGACTCAGGTAAAAACTAGATCGATATGTTCGAGTGTTTTTGTGAGAAATTTCATTCCTGAGAGTTTTCGAATCTTCAGAGAGACGCTGGTTAACCACGATAAAATCTCGGTTCCATTGACTTAAATATTTATTTAAATTTCAACTAAAAAACCAGTGGAAAAATTTTGCATTTAAACGAGTGACACAAACTGGAAGATCTCGGGTTTCAAATATAATCTTTGATTCTTGGAAGTGTTAAAAAAACATTAAACTGTGATTATTCATAATGTCATCCCGGTTTGAATCAAAATATCGCTATAAAAATTTCATTTTGAAACTAAAAAAAGAGGTTTAATATTTTTGCGGCTTGAATTCGAACATTTATTCTCCCCGGCGCGGCTCAGAGATAATTTTGAAAAACTGGCAAAAAATCACAATACAAGAAAATGTGGAACTATTTCAAAGTACAATCCTCCAGACAGTGAAAGGCATTTGTTGATATAAAAAACGCAATAAAAACAAGCAATTAAAAAGCCAATAGAAATAAAAAAGAAGAAATGGAACTAGGACGGAAAATTAATTTTCTGTAGAACATTAAAAGACTGGAGGTCCGAAAAAACGTAATAGACGAAAGTAACTACAAAGAAATCATGGAAAGATGGAAAAATTACTTTCAAGTACTATTGTGAAAATAATGAAGAACCAGAACCAAATAATCATATATCAGAAGATAAGAAGGAGGAAAATCATTATTGACCTTGAAAATAAAAAACCGATAAGAATTCAAAACGGGAAAAGCCGGGATTACGATAATATAACATCGGAAATATTAAAAAAATGAGACACAAAACTACAGAAAGACTGACACCAACACTAAAAACGTAGGTCGAAGAATAAACTTCTAACGACTGGAAACTGTCTGTCGGAATCCCAGTACAGAAAAACGGAGATTATATGAATTTAGTATCTATAAAGGAATAAGACTAATCAGCTTATTAATGAAAACATACGAAAAATTTTGATAAAAATTAGTTCATATTTACTCTGTAAATAATAGTAGAAAAACATTGTCTACAACAAAGAAACGAAGTATGCTTAGGATTTCTAAACTTAGAAAACGCTTTCGATAAAATCTCCAGAAAGAAACTTTGGAGAAAACACTTGAAGCTAGAGTAATTAAAAAATATATACGAATAATAAAAATTATCTATACAGGAAATGAGAACCGTATAATAAGCCAATGAAGAATATAGGAACCCTTTATAACAAATAATTTATCGAAAACCAAAAATTAATTAATTTAGTTTAGCAAAATTTTACGTTATTATGGACAAATTTATGTATGTATATTACGATTTTGTAATAAGTTTCACAAAATAGCAAAATTATCCAGAACAAACAGCACGTCTTTATATAATTTTCTCTTTGATCGAGATTCTCGAAATTAAATATTTTTTATCCGAATGCTAGGTTAGAATATTTTATGTCCAAGTCTCTGGATAAAAAGACGTTCAAAGAAGAGAATCAATTTTATTATTGGATTGTGATGATTGTGTGGATCAACGAAAATATCCAATTATATTTTAATCATAATTTTCCTGAAAGTGATGAAATTTCAGTGGTTGCTGGACTACATTTTTTCTAGATTATATGGTACTTAAAATCCCAGAAAATCTGCAAAATATTTGTAAAAAAAATGTCGACGAACTAAAGCTTACATGGTTAAGAAATTTGCTTCCACTGTATTTAGTTTTTTCTACTCAAAAACTCACCACAATTTCGTTCACATCTGTCGGAGAAACACATTGTGAATTCCAGTTTCTTGGATTCAAAGGGATAAAAAAAGTTTATTCTAACTGTGCAACATTTAACTTTACATTTCTCACATGTTTGTACACAAATCAATTCAAATATTTATTTTGTTAAAATGTGTGCGATAAATTTTGTAGCTGAAATTGCATCAAGAATGCAGCTGCATTTAACAAATATTTATTGTATATTTTGTTTATATTCAAATGCCCTTTTTATGGTAATTCGTTTTCAGCCCATAAATTTTATTCAAAAAAATTCATCCATATTTGTAAAATATTTATGTATTCGACGTGCTGAGCTTAACCCTGCACTATTTTTGACCCATTTGTTTTCCTAGTTGTTCCTTTTAATAATTCATCTGCGTCTATAAGTGACTTTTCTACCTTCAGAAGTGGCATCTTCCTCGTCCAACTCTACGACAATCTCACCCAGCGAAATTCTAATTTAAAATTTCGGTACGGTCCGTAAAAACTTTTAACTACTTATGCAAATGTACTTTTCTTCACCTTCCTTAAATGAATCTTAACCCTTAGTTCCGCAAAATCTCAATTCGGCCACTCCTAACGGTCAGAACCGATTATTAAATGAAGCGATTATTAAACGGAACCGCTAAATATTTATGAGAACAATAATTACCAAACGCGCATTTGCATAACGTGATTAAAAAGAAGCAGGACAAGTCGAGTCAAACCCAGCCCGGAATGATTTCATTCCGCCAAAATCAACTGATTAGCCTTTTGTTGTGAGGAAATTGCCTCCGAGTCATTTATCATTCTTGATTAACTCTAAGCTCATGCGAATTTCGCATCTGACTTGTCGCTGGAAATCGGGAGCTATATGGACGGACAATACAGGGTGTTCGCCTGAAACTCACGTCGGCTCTTCCTGAACGCACCCTCACTGAAACCACTGAAATTCACTGCGTGCGAAGTTGGCTCCGGCGACCGGCAACTGTCACGAACATTCGACTGAAGTTTCCCGAGCGCACTGCGATTTCAGGACTTTCGAAAGCACATGATAGGAGACAGGTGAAATACGGCCGGTTCGGGGCATGCGCACCAACCCAAGAACGCTAAAATCACCGAAAACAACATATTGCCGGACCGCGGTTGTTTTCCTTTTTATTCGCGTGGTAAGCTGGTAAACATCGGACTCGAAATTTATGAAATGAAAAAGTTGGACGTGACAAATTTCCGGATGAATATTGGCCGGGCACGTAAGGGTAATTTTGGGAAAGCTGCTTTATTTTCTGGCCGGGGTTCAAATGTGTCTATTGAAAGGGGAGTCGCCGGATTAACGACGTCGGAAATCGGGATTTATGCAACTAGTGGAAAAAGGACGGCGGTTTCTATGCAGATGCAGGCATAAAAAAAAATAAAGAGAACTTCGGCGGGCGCTTCGTGCAAGGTTTTACCTATTTGCAGCTGAAAAATTGAAAACTGACGTCAATATACGGTGTAATCAATAACCACGGTAAATCCAAGTTAAAAAAATAAAATAATGATTTCGAATTAACCTGAAAGTATTTAGAAAGAATAATATAATCATAATAACAAATACAATTTTCCCTTGTTTGTCTATTGTTATTTTGGAATGATGTTGGTGCAAAAATAAAATATTTGGCTTTGTGTGTATTGTTAATACGTCGACTGCTATTTTGTTATTATATTAAATATTTGCCGACCTATTGTTTGTCGTTGTCATATAAAACAACAAGAGACCACGTTTATTATAATTTTGCTGGAAATAATAACGTGAAAGTATTATTTACATTGCAATAAATTCAATTTCTGCTCTAAAAAAATCGATCTATAGCAGTCTCTAAAACCAATTTTATATGATAGCGCCTGCTACCGTTTTCTACTTTAAACTACCACGTAACAAAGTTATTTCAGTTACGAACTTAAAGTAATATTTTACCTTACAAACACGGCGTTCGCGTGAGTAACATTAAGTGAATACATAGATTTTTTTTAAAAATTATTAACTCGTCTATTTGCTTACGTTCAAATATTTCATTTCCGGGGAAGCATTTCGAGTGATTTAAATTTCTTATTAAAAATAAATTGATCTCAGTTAATCATTTCTTAAATACATACCAGAAAACATTTTTACTAGCAATATTTTCTAAAAAATTAACTATACAATCATCTACCTAGCCTAATTGATTTGACTTACTTTTTGGATAAAAATGGTGGAGGCGGCGGGATAATAAGAACTATTTAAAAAAATATTGACGATTATACCTACAATGTTAAAGAAACTCTAATGAACTTTATACCTGAAGAGAACTTGAAAAATCAGGAAAAATTTGAAATTTGCAGCGACGACAAAAAAAACCTGAAAGGACACAAAATCTGGCCAAAAAATGATCTAAAACTACTTTGACATTTTCCAATTATTTTTTTTTTAATTTTTTTATATAATTTGATTGATGACCGAAATAACCAGACAAACAGAGATTAGAAAGAAAATTAATATCCAGCTGTTGAACCATTCAAAGTTTTCAAAGTTTTTGCACATAAGCACATTTTACCCAGCTATTTGAACACGGTCCACGAAAATAAACACAGATTCGTGATGTTCACAAAATTTGCTCCAAGATAATGCCTTTGACTAGCCGATTTAACCAAATTTAAGTTTTGGGTAAAAATGGTGGAGGCGCCGGGATAATAATTTATTAAAAATATCTACACTCAGAGTTTAAACCAGCCCTTTGGTAATGTTTTTGAAATTTTGAAGAAGACAAGATTAAATTGTGATTAAATTGGTCTTTATAGAAAAAATTTCTCTTCCTTCTCTATTTTGACACATTTGCGAATACTCTTGACTTACTAAAATTTCCTAAATTTACTTTAGCTCTCTGCCAACTTTCACCACTAACGCTTCCCCTTTACCTTGTACCTCCAACTTTGGCGAAGACGATTCGAGATCATGTCTCCTTATATTCGTAAAGTTTATTTTGAAATTTATATGCAATCTCCCGCCAACTTTATGCATCCTCGCAGTTTACGTCCAACAGTCTGCAATTACCGCATAGGTTATATCGTCTTCAGAAACAGTGCTCATAAAGCCCGCATAATGCGCCGTCGCCAAATCGATACCCGTAAATTAAACTTTTTTCGCTTTTTTTATATATTTATGAGGTGAGTGTGGCAACGCTACTCACCCACTTTGCGCGGATATCCTGCATGTACCCGTGATTCATTGATTTTCCGCAAGATGTCGAACACGCAAGGATTTCATGTTGATTTCCATTACAAGCTCTCCAAGTGATTGAAAAAAATATTGTTCGCTCGTAGAATCGTGTGATACAGACATAATAGCGCTCGTAAATAAATAATTCCTTCGGCCTCACACTGCGCCAGTCGACAAAAAAGCGCCGAGATATGGCCGGGTTCGGTTGGCAGCACTGTTGCGTGCGACGGGACCGGAGGAATTGGCCCGCTGGTCTGGCGTTGAGGGAAATTTTGACATATTTAATGGTTTTACGTATGCAGATTTGGCGGCAGGAGCAAGAGGCACACCTTGAATGTAAATGAAAATTTGATTATCAGAGAATTTAGCGGCTGAGGAACGTCAGGGCGAAGGGTAAATGCCCGATTGTGTAAATTTGGGCCGAGTTTCAGGTGTGGAGGGTGTTAAGACACGAATTTTAACATTAAATTTTAAAGTCGGAATTAGGGCGATTATGGCACGGCGGAATGAACTTCAACGTATGTTGTAGAGTATGCGATGAAAAGTTGAAGGTCTGGGTTTATTCATGATATGGGCGAATTATGGTTTGTGAAGACAATCACCGAAAGTAAATGTGTCTTTTAACAAGTCGAGATCATGTCGCCATTGCTATTTTTCACATAGAAATTTGGGTTAGGCAGGTCATATATTCAAATAGAATTTCTGGAAAGAAGTTTTTCAAAAAATGCACAAAAAAGCAGATTTTCGCAAATATTATCGCCTCTCGTCTGCCTTTCTGTCCCGCCTTCCTGATTTTCTGCCTTTCTGTTTATCTGTCTCACTGCGTTTTTCCATCTTTATCTGTTTCTCCATTTATGTATTTCTATCTTCCTGTTATTCTGTCGTTCGGTCTTTCTGATGTTGTGACTTTCTATCTTGCTAGCGTTCCGTAATTGTGGCAATCTGTCATTCTGTCTTTCTGAAATTTTGTACGACTAATGCTATTTAATCTTTATGAAATACCAAACTCCTGAATTTGTGGTTTAAGAATTTATGTTGATTTTTTAGCCTAGGCACCCAAATTTTTGCAAAATTATCTTCTGCCATCTGCCTTTCTATTTCGGCTTTTCTCTTTTCCTATATTTCTGTCTCTTGGTCTCTTTCTTCTATTTGTCTTTTTGTCATTCCCTCAATCTGCCTCTTTGTTTCACTGTCTTTCAGTTTTTTTGACTCTATCTGTTAGCCTTCTGTATTTTTGTTTTTTGTATTCCTCTCATTTTGTCTTTGGTCTTTCTGCGTCTATGTCTTTCCTTTCTTTCCCGACACGGAGTTAATTCGTTCCGAAAGTCTTCTTCCTCCACCTTTCCGACCAAATTCTGTTGTTCTTTCTGTCTTTCCGTCTTTTCGTGTTTCGTCTTTCTGTCCTTTTGTCGTTCTACTTTCTCACGTTCTGCAGTTCAGCTTTTCTGCCGTTCTGTCACCCCAAAATTTTGCACAAAAAAAATTATTTTAAATTTTATAAAATAGCAAACTCTTGTACTTGTGGTTTATGAATCTCCTTTGATTTTTTAGCCTATTCAGATCTTTGCAAAAATATCTTTGTGTCTTCGTCTGTCCGTCTTTCTGTCACTCCGTCTCCAAGTATTCCCCGTTTCGTTTTTCCGGCTTTTTGTGTTTTTTGTTTTGTGTCTTTGTATCGTTCTGCCGTTATCTCATTCTGTCGTTTCATCTTTCTGTCTGCATTTCTGTATATTCTCTTTCTCTCTTTTGTTTATTTGTGTTTTCGGTTTTTTGTATTTCTCTCTTTCAGTTTTTGTCTTTCTATCATTTGCCCCTTTTGTCTTCCTGTCTTTTTATCTTGCTGTCTTTCTGATATGTTTCTCTTTCTATTCTGCTGTCTTTATACTTTCTGTCTTTTTGTCTTAATGTCTTCTGTTTCTCTGTCTTTCGGAGTTTCTGCCTTTCTACCTTTCTATTTGCCTTTTTCTATTTCCCTCATGCTGCCTTTCTGTCTTACTGTCTTTCTATTTTTCTGACTCACTATCTTTGTGCCTTTCTGTCTTTTGTATTTCACTTTTTCAGTTTTTTGTCTTTTTGTCTTTCTATCTTTCTTTCCTCTTGACGTTCTGTCTTTCTGCCTTTCTGCCGTTCTGTCTCTCTGGATTTCTGACTTTCTAGCAATTTATTTTTGGCTCTTTCCCTCTTTCTGTTTTACTGTTTTTCTGGCTCTCTATCTTTCTGCCTTTCTGTGATTTGGGTTTTTGTATTTTTCTCTTTCATTTTTTTGTCTTTCTGTCATTTTGTGTTTCTGTCTTTCTGTCTTGCTTCCTTACTGTCTTTCTGCCTTACTACCTTTCTGTCATTTTATTTTTTCTTTTTATATTTCCCTCATACTGTTTTTCTGTCTTACTCTCTTTCTGTTTTTCTAACTCACTATCTTTCTGGCTTTCTAACTTTTGTATTTCACATTTTTCAGTTTTTTGTCTTTCTGTCTTGCTTTTTTTCTTCTAAATTTTCTTCCGCCTTTCTGTCGTTCTGTCTTTGTGCCTTTTTGACTTTCCGTCAATTTGTTTTTTAGTCTTCTCCTCATTCTGTCTTTCTGTCCTACTGTGTTTCTGTTTTTCTGACTCTCTGTGTTTCAGTTTTTTGTATTTATCTCTTTCAGTTTTTTGTTTTTTTGTCTTTCTGTGTTTCTGCCTTTCCGCCTTTCCGTCATTCCCTCTTTCTATTTTTCTGTCTTGCTTCATTGGCTTTCTCTTTTTCTGACAGTTTATCTTTCTGTCCTTCTGTCTTTCTGGTTTTAATATTTCTCCCTTTCAGTTGTTTGTCCTTCTGTCATTCTCTCTTTCTGTCTTTTGTCTTTCTATTTTTCTGTCTTGCTGTCTCTCTTCCTTCTTTCTGTCTTTCTTTTGATTCGTTTTTCTGTCTTTCTGTGTTCCTTTCTTCCTGCGTTTCTTCCTTTCTGTATTTCTGCCTTTAGTTTTTCTGTAGTTCTGTTATTTTGTCGTTATGATGTTATGAATTTCTGTCTTTCTAACGTTCTTCACTTGTGTCCCTCATTCTGTCTTTCTGTCTTACTGTCTTTCTGTTTTTCTGACTCACTATCTTTCTCCCTTTCTGCCTTTTGTAGTTCACTTTTTCAGTTTTTTGTCTTCCTCTCATTCTGTCTTTCTGTATTTTTGTCTTGATCTTTTTCTTTCCTTCTGACTTTCTGTCTTTCTGCCGTTCTGTCTTTTTGTGTTTCTAACTCTCTTTCAGTTTGTTGTCTTTCTATCATTCTGTCTTTTTTCTTTCTTTCTGTCTCGCTGTCTTTCTGTCTTGCTTCCTTACTGTCTTTCAGTCTGTCTCACTTTCTCTATCTGCCTTTCTGGCTTTTTGTCTTTCTAATTATCTTTTCGTATTTCTCTCATTCTGTCTTTCTGTCTTACTGTCTTTCTGTTTTTTTGAGTCACTATTTTTCTGTTTTCTGTCTTTTGTATTTCACTTTTTCAGTTTTTTGTCTTTCTGTCATTCTGTCGTTTTGTCTTGCTCTTTTTCTTTCTTTATAACTTTCTGTCTTTCTGCCCTTCTGCCGTTCTGTCTTTCTACCTGTCTGTCTTTGTGCCTTTCTGTCAATTTGTTTTTTTGATCTTTCCCTCATTCTGTCTTTCTGTCTTGCTATTTTTCTGTTTTTGTGAATCTCTATGTTACTGCCTTTCTGTGTTTCGGTTTTTTGTGTTTTTCTCTTTGAGTTTTTTATCTTTCTGTCTTTTTGTCTTGCTTGCTTAGTGTCTTTCTCTCTATCTCACTTTCTGTCTTTCTGCTTTTCTGTCCTTCTGTCTTAATCTTATTCTGTCTTCTTGTCTTTTTGTCATTCTGTCTCATTGTCTTCCTGTTTTTCTGACTCCCTATCTTTCTGCCTTTATGTCTTACTGGTTTTTGGTATTTCTCTCTTTCAGTTTTTTGTCATTCTGTCATTCCCTCTTTCTGTCTTTTTATCTTTCTGTTTTTCTGTTATGCTGTCTTTCTGTATTTCCTTCTTTCTGTTTTCCTGTCTTTCTTTCTTTCGATCCGTCTTTCTGTCTTTCTGTGTTTCTAACTCTCTTTCAGTTTGTTGTCTTTCTATCATTCTGTCTTTCTTCCTTTCTTTCTTTCTGTCTCGCTGTCTTTCTGTCTTCCTTCCTTACTGTCTTTCTGTCTGTCTCACTTTGTCTATCTGCCTTTCTGCCTTTTTGTCTTTTTATTTATCTTTTTGTATTTCTCTCATTCTGTCTTTCTGTCTTACTGTCTTTCTGTTTTTCTGACTTACTGTCTTTCTGTTTTCTGTCTTTTGTATTTCACTTTTTCAGTTTTTTGTCTTTCTGTCATTCTGTCGTTCTGTCTTGCTCTTTTTCTTTCTTTATAACTTTCTGTCTTTCTGCCCTTCTGCCGTTCTGTCTTTCTACCTGTCTGTCTTTCTGCGATTCTGTCAATTTGTTTTTTGGTCTCCCCCCCTTTTTTTTCTTACTATTTTTCTGTTTTTGTAAATCTCTATTTTTCTGATTTTCTGTGTTTCGGTTTTTTGTATTTTTCTCTTTCAGTTTTTTATCTTTCTGTCTTTTTGTCTTGCTTGTTTAGTGTCTTTCTATCTATCTCACTTTCTGTCTTTCTGCTTTTCTGTCCTTCTGTCTTTCTCTTATTCTGTCTTCCTGTCTTTTTGTCATTCTGTCTCATTGTCTTCCTGTTTTAATGACTCTCCATTTTTCTGCCTTTATGTCTTACTGGTTTTTGGTATTTCTCTCTTTCAGTTTTTTGTCATTGTGTCATTCCCTCTTTCTGTCTTTTTGTCTTTCTGTTTTTCTGTCATGCTGTCTTTCTGTATTTCCTTCTTTCTGTTTTCCTGTCTTTCTTTCTTTCGATCCGTCTTTCTGTGTTTCTAACTCTCTTTCTATCATTCTGTCTTTCTTTCTTTCTTCCTGTCTCGCTGTCTTTCTGTCTTGCTTCCTTACTGTCTTTCTATCTGTCTCACTTTGTCTATCTGCCTTTCTGTCTTTTTATCTTTCTATTTATCTTTTTGTATTTCTCTCATTCTGTCTTTCTCTTATTCTGTCTTCTTGTCTTTTTGTCATTCTGTCTCATTGTCTTCCTGTTTTTCTGACTCTCTATTTTTCTGCCTTTATGTCTTACTGGTTTTTGGTATTTCTCTCTTTCAGTTTTTTGTCATTCTGCCATTCCCTCTTTCTGTCTTTTTGTCTTTCTGTTTTTCTGTCATGCTGTCTTTCTGTATTTCCTTCTTTCTGTTTTCCTGTCTTTCTTTCTTTCGATCCGTCTTTCTGTGTTTCTAACTCTCTTTCTATCATTCTGTCTTTCTTTCTTTCTTCCTGTCTCGCTGTCTTTCTGTCTTGCTTCCTTACTGTCTTTCTATCTGTCTCACTTTGTCTATCTGCCTTTCTGCCTTTTTATCTTTCTATTTATCTTTTTGTATTTCTCTCATTCTGTCTTTCTGTTTTTCTGACTCACTATCTTTCTGTTTTCAGTCTTTTGTATTTCACTTTTTCAGTTTTTTTTCTTTCTGTCATTC